ATCTGGCAGCAACGTGAAGAGGAGAGTTTCCGAACATATCAAAACAATCGATCTCCCCACCTGTGCAGAGGCAGAAAGAAACATGGTGTTTCTGATGAGAATGTGCTCTGATGTTTTATGTCTCTGCATATCATGAGGATGCAGTGTCACTGTTTCTTAATTAGTTGAAGTTTATTTTACCATTTTGGATCAGAATCTGGGAGCCTGTAAAGCGTCCGTGCATTGCAGCCATATGCAAAGGGCTCTTTCCTTCTTTATTCTGTTCAACAGAGAAAGTTAACAAGTTTAGTAAAAAGAACGGCATACATCATCATGATATATAACCCATACATTTAATCCCCTGACCAATAACTATTATTACTTTTCAATCCCCTTTTGTTCTTATCAAATTCACTTCTTCAAAACAAGCTCTTTACCTGCATGTTGACATCCGCCCCATTGTTGATAAGCAGCTCGAGACACAGCACCGCACTAGAGGAGGCAGCAGCTAGGTGAAGTGGCGTGTTGCCGTGATAGTTGGGCTGATTGATGTTGGCACCGGCGTTCACTAGCTCAGTGGCCACAGTGTCCTGCCCTGTGTGACACGCCATGTGGAGCGCCGTGTTTCCATAAATGTTGGGTTCGTCAGTCTGAGAATCAGAGCGGGAAATCATTTAAAACATTTTAAAGCAAAAACTAAATCCTGCAAATGCACTCTAAAGTAATATAAGGTACATTCAAAAGGTTGCCCTGTTTACAATGTAAGGTAAATAAAATGAATGGCAGATATAGTTATTTATTACAATGGAGTATAATTTTTTAATTTTCTAATAGTTTTGTAACCGAGCCACTTTACCTCCACCCCGAGCCGCAACAGATATTTAACAACCTCCAACTGTCCACTGGCGGCTGCTGCATGGAGCGGAGTGTATCCACGTTTGTCCTTATACGTCACGTCGGCACTGTGAGACACCAGCAGCTTCACAACCTCCACATGTCCTGAAAGAAGAGCCTTACGTTTTAGACAAACATCTGCCATGCTCGCAGACAATAATACACTTACACGCCTGTAGTCTGGAAATAGATGCTTGGTATACAGGCCAGGCTAATATAAGATTCAGCACATGTCAACTTTGTTAACAACTAATCAAATGTAAATAGACTGAGATTGTGTTGATAAGAAAAGCCAGTGATATATGCAGTCATTAAGTCAGTAAAGATAAAAATTACTTCCATAAAAAAAGTTACTTCCATATCATTGTTCTAGTCTTTCTTTGAGTATATCAAGGAGCGACATCACCTACCTTGGTATGTAGCCCAGTGGATTGCCTGCCTTTCTTTTTTGTCTTTGGCACACACGTTGGCACCTTTGCTCAGGAGCAGGTTCACCATCTACAGAAACACAAGAACTGGGTCAACCTCTGTCTATCAAATCATCTAAACCCATTCTACAATCATAGTCCAGTGGACAGCAGCATTTCATTCTTGGGATCAGTTTAGCAAACACATTTGTATTCTGGGGACTCTGTGAAATAAATATTGTGTGAAACTAGATTAATATATCATAATAAGAATGCAGTTTACAAAATGCTGCAACAACTACCAGAAACCAGGAAAATGTTCCCCAAGTATTATTCACTTCCTAAACTAAATTTCCTTTCAATTGATCACTACAACCAGCTTCATAGTTTACCTCTACATGGCCGCTGTGCGCTGCATGATGCAGTGGCGTCCTCCCTGATCTGTCACCAACATTCAGGCTGCAGACATGTGGTATCAGAGCTTCAGCGCAACCTGTGGCCCAGTTTGCAGCTGCCATGTGTAAAGGTGTATGCCAGAATTTGTCTCGTGTGTTGACCTCTGCTCTGTGCTCTAGCAGCAGCTCCACAGCCCTCTGGCAGTAAAAGACAAAATTCATTTAATATGTGAGTTAAACATTACAACCTGGTGGTTAGAACCTAAGAGTTCATGTTTAAATGACATACTTCATTCCTTGAGGCAGCTGCTCGATGTAAAGGAGTCAGCAAACCCTGGTCCTTCGCGTTGACATTTGCATCTGTAGCACAGAGCAGATGCAAAGTTAAGCTAGTTAGTAGTGGTTTTGGGTGTGTTTTAGTTGTTGTGTGTGGCAGACTCATTGCATTCATTACTAGAAAGAGTTATTTGCAAAATGGGTACAAGTATATATTGTTTAAAATATACTTCTTGATACAGCAAATATTTTTTACCTGAAGTAATAAGAAGGTCCATAATGTGGACATCACCCAAATAAGCAGCAGCATGTAGTGGTGTGCTTTGTTCTTGGTCCTGAAAGGAAAAACACATCAAACAGTGCAGAGTGCAGCAGCATTTTTTTGTTCTAATGCTGTATTATTATTTTGGTAAATTCTGACTAAAACTAAAACTTGATTCGTTTATGGCTGTGATCAGAAAACCTGCTTGGAAAGTAGCAGTTATCTAAAACCATACAGATGTGAGGTGAACTGTTTGTACAAGCACCATTAACATTTGACCTGAAACATAATGCATGCAAATCTAATAACACAACTTTCAAAAAAACATCATGACTATTACCAGTGAATTGACATCTTCTTCATGGTTCAACAAAAATGTCACCTCTTCTATGTTTCGGCTGAATATAGCCTGGACCAACGGAGACTGGAAAAGAGATCACATGAGAACATGACAAATCACATAATTTATATCAACACTGGATTAATTCCATTGTGTATTATCATTTATCTGATTAGATGAACAGCACAGCATAGATGCAGTAGTTTTTTTATTTCTATCTACTGTAATATTCTTGGTCTGTATATATTTCTATTCTTGGCTGGAGCAGCTGTAACAAACCCCATGCCCTCACCCGGGGATCAGAAGTATTTCTGATCTGATGAATGAAACACAATTTCAGCTGAACAGCTTTCATCTGCAAACTTGTTGTGATTTACTGGGATCGTAAATAAATACATTAGACTTTGTTAAGATGCTGGGATGCCAATAAATACTAGCTTATTGGTAAATAACAATATCTTCTAAGCTTTGGATGGAGATAGCAATGCCTCATCAACAACACAGATAACAATAAGCAGACGCAGCTATGTACAAGTGGATGTTAGCATGTTTTAAGGTGTTGTTTTGGCAGGTTCTGGAGCTAATTCAACAGAGACAATAATAACTCCACTGATAGGACTCTGGTGCATAAGGAAACTTCAGACATCTAATCCTGCATCACCAGATCGTGCAAACGGAAGAGTTGAGTCCACTGGTGCCTGGTAAGGACTGTGTGACAGTAACAAGCCCTGAGACAAACTTTGCTCGACATGTCGCTAACATGACGAGCCGGCTGTTTGCAGCGTTACTGAGAAGTCCTGTGAGTTTTCTAACGTGGATTTAAGATCAACAACAAGTGGTTTAATTACTACCTGGTCCTCGATGTTTCTTAACTCCATGACCCAGTCAGTCCTGAAGATCCTTCATTGAGACTGTATGTGTTTTAACTGGCTACATGTCCCCCTGTAGCAGGCAGCGGCTAGTTAGCCTAGCTTTAGCTTGGTTAGCCTCTGTCTGTGATACGTGACGTATACACTACAGCTGCCAGATTATCGCGACAGAAATATAACCAACGTGATTTGGAGGTGTCAGGAAATTATACTTTAGTTTGTGTTATTGTTCTTTTCTGAATATAGGTGTGACTTTACATTTTTTCGATGCTTTAATAATGTGTTTGTTAAACAAATCTACTATTGACTTTGACAAAATAGCATCTTCATTAATGCAACACCTGTAACAACAGTTTTTTTATCCTTTGATCAATCCACACCACAACATGGTCAAGGTGTGAATACATAAATAATAGAATCAGAACATTTACTCAAGTTCTGTGTTCATGTACAAACTTTGAGATGAATAATAGACCAGTTCATGAAAAAATTCCACTTCGTTTGATGACCATAATGTTCCAGATAAGATTCCGCTGCAGTGGCAGAGAAGTCATTTTAGAAACTTCTGTGCTGTGAATGAAGTCTTATGTTAGATGTAATCAGTCCAAGTAACCAGAATAAAGAATTCAGAGGACCATGCAAATGTTCATGAGACCTTCATGTCCACAAATGCTGTTAGAAAATGTTGCAGCACAAACAAAAATATAGAACATTTAAACTAATCAAACATCTTTTTAGACCCGACTTAATGCAATCAGTCAAAAATCCCTCCCATTTCTATCCACTACTTTGTTTTCATCTTTGTCCCATTAAATATGTCCTAGTCACTTAAATATGTAAAGCGTCCTTGGGTCTCTTGAAAGACAGAGAAGAGGCAATGACTGATTCTGCTTCACTGATTGTTCTCTGACATGGACCCTGTTAATCCTCCTATTAGACAGAGCCAGTGAGTAATGAGTGAATTAATCATGGAGCATTTTCTGGCCTGAATAAGGTGCTTCATCCAAAAAAATAAATAATCTTATGTTGTCAAGCTAAAGTGGTTGTAGAAAATCTCTGATTGTGAGATTTCTGATTTCTGGATGTTCCCTATATATTTAAAGCTACAGACCTGTATTGGTTTTCTACTTTCGAGCAAGATGTGACTGTGTCAAGCACAATCGCAAACCTCAGCTGTACATTAATAAAATCT